GAGAGAGAGAGAGAGAGAGAGAGAGAGAGAGAGAGAGAGAGAGAGAGAAAGAGAGCTTTCCTTCACAATGACAAAATACCTGAGTCAATCAGCTCACTGGAGTAAAGGTTCATTGTGGCTCACAGTTTGGAGGTTCTGGCCCACGACCAGCTGGGTCTCTTGTCTTGGGACCATGACAAAGTGGCTCACCAAGGTGGAAGTCTGCGAAAAAGTGGCTGTTGGCCTCATAGCTGGGGAGCAGAAGGAAAGGCTGGGGTCCCATGAGCCTCTTTGAGGTGCACTCCCAATGACCCTAAGACCTCCTGCTAGGCCCCGCCCCTTAAGGGTTCTAGACCCTACCCATGGTGAGTCCTGGGCTGACCCTGATGACTGTGGCTTTGCAACGCTAGCCTTTGGGGAACAGCTCAGGGCCACATCTAACGTGCTGCCATCTTTTGTAGACCACGTTTCAGAGAAGAGGGCTAGAGAGTCTTCCCAAGTCAATAAGGACGTGACTGCAGGAGCATTTCGTCAAGCTGCCAGTCCAGGTGGTCACCCAGGTGGGCCGAGGGGAGGGGGGTACTCAGCTGCAGGGGGCTCGAGCATGCCCCTGGCCTTTCATGCCACTCTGACTAGATGCAGGCACACCTTTAACAAAGCTGTGAGAACGTATGGCCTGCCACGCAAACTCTAGCCTGTGACCACCATGCAGGTGCTACTTTTCTGCTGCTCCCACATGACCAGGGTCATGTGACACAGGGCTATTGCTGGGTGTGGCGGTGCACACTTGTGATCCTAGCACTTGAGAGGCTGAGGCAGGAGGATCGCATGAGGCCACCCTGGGCTACATAGTGAGTTTAAGGCTGGCTTGAACTACATGGTGAGGCCCTGTCTAAAAACAAAACAAAACAACCCCCAAGGCCCCAAAAATAACCAAACAAAAGAACAGGAACCTTATTTTCCAAGTTCTTGCTGATATCAGACACCAAAGCTTTCTGCCAAGCAGGAAGGGACTGAATGCCAAAGTTACTCTGGTCCATGATGTCCCTGGCATTGCCCTTGTTGGATAACCTGAGCTCAGGTCCACTTGGCACCATGCCCAGCACAGCCCCTCCACGTAGCCCCTCCACCCAACTCTCTTGTCACTTCCTACCCTTAGGAATTAAATGCTGAATTACCCCGACAGAGCCCTTCGAGCCACTTCTCTGCCACCTCTTCATGTCCCAGAGGTGAAGGATTGGGGATGTGCGGTTTCTTCCACGGCCCAGGAAGGCCCTGGGTGGCATTATCCTCCTGCACCCGGGCTCTCAGCGGCATCTCCCCACCCCACCTCATGCTCCATGCCCCTATGCTCCATTCCCTCTTGGCTGAGTTACTTGTGGAGTTTCAGAAGCCCCAAGCGTCCTGATGCCACTGACATCTCCTTTCCTTGAGATCTAGCTGAAGCTGCCCTTATGCCCAAGCCCATCTCAGCAGTCTCTAGAACCACCAATTTTCCTGTGCATCCTCTAGAGGGCTGCGCGGGCTCACGGCCCTCTCTGGCATCCTGTGATGCTTCCAGCTGAATATTTACTTGCTTTTTCTTTCTGGTGGTGAAGGTAGAACCCAGGGCCACCATTGGGGTCACCTATCTCTGTCTCTTATGCCTGGTGTCTTCCCTTTAGATCTGCCTTGCGGGCCGCTCCTGCACTTCCTGCGGAAGAACATCATCATTGCTGCCGGCGCTGTGGCCGCTGTCTTTGGAGTCATGTTGCTGTTGGTGTCTCCGCTGACGTCTTACCTGAGGAGGAGACAGTCAGTGTGAGTTCCTCCCAAGAACTCCTGCTTGTTGAGGTAGTGTTGCCCCCACAGCTTCCGGCAGGCCCCTGGAGAAAGGCAGGGCTCTCTAAGCCCAGCATGCCCCAGGAGGACCCAGGACCCAGGGACATCAGGTCTTGGGCGCTGCCTCATTCTGATGCACAGACAGGTCTTGGCCTTCCTGGCGTGGCCTGTGCCTGTCTCTAGGCAATGTCTGCTCCATCTGAGGGCTGCTGAAACAGCAAGCAGAGAGTAGAGCCTCTGGCTGGAAGATGGGAAACAGGAATATGGGTGCAGAAAGGGAAGGCAAAGCACAGCTGTAAGGGGGAGGAGGACTCCATTCCTCTGGTCCAGCTGTGCTGGTGGTTAGGATGTGAGTGACGGCTCTCCTGGTTACTAACAGCCACTGCCCAGGTCCTCCTGCAAATTCCCCCGTGATCCTCTATGCCAAGGGTTAATGCCTGGCACAGCAGGGACCAGGCTCCAACAGTGATCACTTTAACTGCACCCCTGACTACCCTCCTGATGATGGGGTGCAAGAGGACTCCTGAGCAGGCTCCGAGAGGTTAACAGTATATAAAACCACATGTTGTGTAATTGTTTTCAAAATTAGAGCCTGCGGCAGCTCCCTAAACACAGAGGTCCTTAAGGTTTTGCCCTCTCTGATGCTGAGGCTACAGTATTTAAATTCCCCTGCAAGACTGGCATGGCTTTCCTTAAATGCCAAAGGCCCCAGGGATGTCTGGCCGGCCACCACCAACTCTCATCCAGCTTCCTCTTTTGCGACAAGATTGAGTCCCCTGAAGCACAGAGGGAGCCTTGAATGTGGTAGAAGTTAGAGGTGGAGGATTTCAGAGCTCCTACAAATGAGCTCCATCCACCGCAAAGTTCTGACCACAGCTTGTCCACTAGACCTTTCCCTCCATGCCCCTTGAGGTTCCAGAACAAGCAGTGGGGATGGTGGCCCCATCCAGAGACGAGTCAGAGCTATGCATGGCGTGAGCTGCTTACGACAACGTGGGGAGGGAGGGGTTTCCCAGAAGCCCCAACAGAACCAGATCCCCTGAATGAACACCAGGGGACCTTGTGTTAGTGGGAATTGTGGAAATTGCCATCTCCTGAGTGAGCACTGTGGTTTTCATCCTTTTGTTCTAGAAATCCTCCAGCGAACATGACTTATAATATATTTATATTGGATGAAAAGAGTTGGTGGCAGAAACCTCAGGAAAGTCTCACAAAATTTGTAGAAAAACACAAACAGTTGAAGTGAAGTTCCTGTGTGTAAGCCAGGGCAAGGGGCCACCCAAACCAGGCTCCGAGGCAGCGATACGAGGACATTCTCCACCCAGACACCATGGAGAGGCTACTGGGTCTCTGGCTGTGAGGTGTATTCATCTTCGCAATCTTGGATGGACCAAGAAAGACTGCTCACCATCGATATCTATGGTGACATGGCACTAATGACCAATGCAAGAGACTTGGGCAATTATCTAAAGACACACCTGACCAATGACGATGGATTTATTCATTTAATAAAGCACTGATTTATTTAGTCATGGATGGCATAACTGAACACCTGCTATGTATCATAGACCAATCAGAATACAAGGGAGGAACCTCGAGGGACCCAGGCATGGATTGTGCCCCAGCAAGATTGCAGCCTGGTGGTGGGGCAAGAGCACAGTGGTACCAATACCTATTGTCCTTTGCCATCAGGGCCACAGGAGGCATTACTATGAAGAAAATGATAAGAATTATGGGAGCTCACCAGGGGAGTGTAGTTCCTGCTTGAGTCACCAGGGCTGTTGTAGTAGGGAAAGGAAGCAGAGGTGGTTTAGAGTGTAATGAACAGGGTTTATTTCTAAGGGTGTGAAGAGAGTTTGAAGCACCCCGGGACAGGCAAGAGTGGGAAGCGGTTACCATTGGAGGCTGAGGCAGCAAGAAAGATACAAGGTGGGCTGGAAGTACTGGTCTGTGGTAGAGCACTTGCCTACCACGCGTGAGGTCCTGGGTTCAAGCCCCAGTATAGGGGGAGAACAAGAAGGGTGAAGAGCACCCCAGACAGGTTGTTCTGTGGGACTGTGGGTGAACTGCAAAACCATACAGGAAAGAAAAGAAAACCTACAGGAAGGAACTGGGAACACGTGCCTCAATCTCAGGCTTCTCCCGCTCTTCATTCTCCTACTTGGGGCTAACATTGGCTAAGCTCAACAGGAAGCTGGAAGGTAAGTGTCACACGAATTTCCTGGGAAGACAGGAAAGAAACCTCTGCTTCTGCCCTGAGAGGGAGCCAGCAGTCCAAAGAAAGGCTCGCACACGACCAGCTTGGCAGGGAAGTGAGCTGATGGCCACCAGCCATGCTACTGGAGTTGCCAAGTCCCGTCTGCTAGGGTGCTGGCTTTCTAGGGCAGGGAGTGAACAGCAAGCAGCAGAAGCCAAGATGAGAGAACTTGGGCAAGGTTGTGTGTGCTGTGCCCCCACCCATCCACATCAGGAAGCCCCGTGGTCCCCAGCTGCAGTGATGGGTGGCCTTGGGGGCTAAGCAGTGCCCTTTCCAAGACGGAATTACTCTGGCCAGGGGTCTCGGACAGTCCTCATTGTAGTGACAGAGTCACTGTTATGGCTCATCAGGCCCCTGGGGCGCAGAGCACAGAGTGGCTTCGGAAGGAGGGCAAACCAGAGATATCTAGCAGAGTTTCTCAGGCCATCAGACTCCCTCTCTGTCCTGTTTATGAATGAAAATTCCAAGTCCATGTCACCCGCATAAGGGACACAAAGTCCCCAGAGCTGCGTATGCTGGGAGGAGGGTGTCAGTCAGTCCTCCTTGCACCTGAAGCTTGAAGCTTCAGCCATTACACTGATGTTTATCTAAGGAACTGGGCAAAAATAGTAAGGGGCAGGGTAATAAAGAACATAGCTAAAAACAAAACAAAACATAGCTATGACAGTCTTTGCTTTGGTAGATGGTCACAAGGCTTAAATTAACTGCAGCTTCCCTCTTCTGCCCATCCCATGTGACCTGTGTGTGTGTGTGTGTGTGTGTGTGTGTGTGATATTGGGGATGGACACTCTTGTCTTCACACTGAGGTATATTCTCAGCCTCCTTTTTGGTTTTATTTGAGACAGTGTCTCACTTAGTCGCTAAGGTGTCCTGGCTGGACTTCAACTTGCGCCCCTCTCGCCCCAGCTTCCCAGAGTTCTGTGCTTACAGGGATGTACCACCATCACTCTCCCTTCTTACACCTTGGCCACAGGGACTTCATTTCCTGGGAGAATGTCCCAGCCACCCTGTCTGCATAGTCTTAATATTGGTGAATCTTCACAGAAAGGACCATTGTGGTAGTGGATACATTGTGTCAACTTGGCTGAATCCCATCTGGCAGTTCCCGCTTCTCCCCCCACCTCCCAAGCGCGGGTGGGCAGGGCCCAACCTGGGGGGTGATGGGGCACTATTGGGCCAGCCCTGGGGTGCGACTGGTCCACCCTAGAGCCATGGGCTGGCCCAGTGACTCAGCACAAAAAGTGCATATAAAGGAGTTGAGGGCTAGCGTTTTTTTGGAGCTAGATCTTCATAGAGCCCCACTTTCACAGTGGAGTCCCTCCTCCTCTGCTTTTCATTGTTTTCTGCCGCAGTGAACTGCTGTTGTTTGCCTTGGAACCAGCAGAGTAAGAACTGACAACTCCACAAACTGCGCTGAATCGACCTTTCCTTCCTTCATTTTGAGTGCTGGGTATTTGTCCCAGCAATGAGTAGAAAGTAACTAAGATAGCCATAATTTTCAGGGGGCCATGGCAGTTTTTTTGTTCGCTCCAGTACCAGTATGCAGGACACGACTGTACATTGTATCCAGTTTTCTTGGAACACTGATTTAGTGAATTGGATTAACAGGCAATGTTTGAATTGTTCCAGCAGGTAGGTGTCGACAACTGGCATCCTGTGGTCTGGTCTTCAAGCTCTATCATGACCGGGAGCTGGATCCCAAATGCAGAAGCCACGTCTTCCAGGATAGCCTGGCCTGCCTCTCCAGGCTCTGAGAACTTCCTGAGTCTTCCGCAGACCCTGCGGGTGTCGCCGGCCTGCCGGCTCAGATGGCTCCACAGCCAGGCGCTGCACCCAGCCTGCCTGTCCTTCCCCAGTTCTCTTTCAGTTGATCTCATGGGTTCCCAGGCAAGTGACCCAGCGGAGCACACCTTCAAGGGATGCGAAGGTCGCCGGCTTTACTGTGGGTTCCGAGGGCTGGGTTTGTTTCACAGTGATATCGCATCCACAGCCGCAGCTGGGGCTGGCATCACTGCCTGGCATCACTTCAGTTGGTGACAGCCTGCATTTTCCAAGGCCAGTTTTGGCACCAAGCACACAGGACTATGAAATGGGGGTGCGATGAGAGAGGCCACCCCCGGATCTCTCATACATTTTGTGGGGGTAGACCCTGCCATTCCCTCTGGGTGGCCACTTTGCCTGTGGTTTATGCTGTCGGTCAGGGGGACAGTGGCAGGGCCTTCTGTCTGGCCTTGCCTAGAACCCCTGCCACGGGCCAGAACATTAACAGAAGAGACCTGTGCTATTCTTTATGAAAAATGCCTTACTTGGGGCTGGGGATGTAGCTCAGTGGTAAAGCACAGGCTTAGCACGGGCAAGGCCCTAGGCTGACCGACTGATGCTCCCAAACTCCCCTGTAGCTGGCCGCCTCTGCCCTGGACCGCCCTTCAGGCCTGGGCTCTGCGTGAATGCATCCCAGCATCCCTTGCAGCTGGCGCCCACTCTCAGGAGGCCACATTAGCCTAAGCCTTGGAGGGGCAAGGGAGGGAAAAGCAGTTTCCTTTCCAGTTTCTTGTCAGTGTGACACTCTAGAAGTAGAGGACAGCCGCAGCTATTTTGGAAGGTAGGACAGGGGAGGGGATGGAGATGCTAAGGGCTGTCCTTAGGGCTGTCACAGAGGCTGGAGGAGAGTGTCCACCTGGCCAGGACCTGGATGAGATGCACAACCCTATAGCACCCATGGGCGTGCAGATAGGAAGCGGAGCAGCCCCCTTATAGGGCCCTGCTCAGGGCTCCACACCCTCATGCTGTGCCAGCCTCGGCTCCTCTGTGATAGGGCAAGACAGCAAGAACAGGGGTGTGACCAGAGGCAGTGGACAAGATGGCATTCAAAGAAGAGCCACAGCCAAGAGGACCCTCATGAGAGGCATGGCCTGAGGGTCTGAGCATGTCCAAAAGGTGTGGCTGAGCGGGGATGGGGAGGTGGGGGTAGGGTCTGGGGGCTGGGAGCTGGCTAGCTGTTGTGTTCAGCAGGTGGGCAGCTCCCCAGAGGTAGCAGGTCTTGAACCTTTCTGTTCATGTAAATGGACCTGGTGGCAAGCAGGGAAGGACTGGTTGGCCCTGTGGGCCAGTCTGTGTGGGCAGTGAAGTCTCAGCAGCCCCAGAGTCTCCATCAGTTCTTTACCACTTGGGTAGGCCAGCAAATCCCCAGGAGATCTGTTTCCTCCAGGCCCACCCAGTTAGTGGCACTGGGCTGTGGTCCTATAGCTGTGGTGGCCTGTGTGTGGACAGAGAGTGGCCCTGGCTCAGGGTTTGGAGGAAAGTACAAGCCCTGTCAGGCTCTCAAGCATCCTGGGCCCCTTAGGACACTGTGCGCCCTGCACCCCGCCCCTTCCTGCCCCTCCTTCCTGGCCTGGGTGGATGCCTGTGGGTCCCTGCAGCAGACACGCTGTGGCTGTGGCCTCCTCCCCACTTCCATTCAAGTAAATGAAATGCAACCCCTATGCCCAGAGATACACAGAGGCTCAGGCTGCCCCTCCCCACGGTGACATCACCACTGTGTCCTACCCGTGGGCACTCACGCAGACTGCTCTCCAAACATCCCAGACATGTGTTCAAACACATGCGGGGGTGTCTTGTGCCCTAGTCACAGAATCACACATCCACATCGGACAGTCTGACTCACCCTGCTGCCTCCTGTAGCCCTAGACAGACGAATGACGTCACACTTGGGTTCCAAGGCCAGAAGCTGCCCTGACCCATCTCAGTGTCATGGAGGAGGAAGGGGATGTGGGGATGACACTTCCCAAAAAGCTGTAGGACTGAAGCAGCCCCAGAGTTAGCGTGGCTGGAACCCACTGTTTGGACAGCTGCTCAGGCCTGGACCAGGGGTGTGGGGGTGGGACAGGGAGAATGTGGTGGGGGATAGGATGAGGGTCGGGGAGGGACACTGGGCTGGTGGGGAAAAATAAGGAGGGATCGAGGACAAGGGGGGTTTGGGGGAAAAAGGAGGAAGACTCTGCAGATGGGGAGGTCAGAAGAACATGCAGGTGCGGATGGGGAGGATTTGAACAGGGGGTTGGGGAGGTTGGAGTGAGGACAAGGTGTGATGGAAGGCACAGGGATGGGGGCGGGGGGATGGGAAAGAGATGGGCAGAGAGAGCTGTTACTGGCCAGCAGCAGCCTTGGCTGCTAAATACTGAGCTCCGGTCTCTACTCAAGCTGGCATTTATTAGATGCCTCCTGGTGCCATGCACAGTGCCTGGGGGGGGGGGTTCACTCAACATGCCTGCCTTCCCAGACTTCCCTGCAGGGTATCCCCTGCAGGTGGGGGTCTGCCCTTGGCCTCTGCGGACCTGTCCCCGCATCAAGGACCAGGAAGCAGGAACCAGAAGAAAGCAGGAACATGTCATACCTACCACCCATGATCTCTGGGAGCCTGCACAGGTGGCATTGGGGTGTGGCCAGTCCCCTGCTGCCTGTCTGGCTCCAACCTTAGAGTGACAGTGCTAGCCTACTTGTGGCCGCTGTTTGGGCATATTAAATATGCCTTGGCGGGGATTAAAAATAAAGGAATCAATCGATTTTAGCAGTTCTGATTATCCTCCCAGGCTTGTTCTTTGTCTACCCAGCATCCCCTCCGCGCCTTCCGGTGCTGCTTCCAGACCTGGCTCGAGGCTACGCCCACATCCCAGTTACCAGCTTCAGGGATTGGTTGGGGGTGGACATGTGACCTACTTAGCAAGGGGCGCTGTTGGAGCGGTCTGTTGGGAATGCTGGGAGAGGTTCTTTGTCCTTTTGTGAGAGGTGAAGGTTTCTGTGCACTATTTGGGGGCAAAAGGGGAAAACTTGCCAGAGAAAGCAGCCACCAGGGGTGGAGGAGGAAACAATCCGGGGGCATCATTTGCGCCCAGAGCAAGCTGTTCCTGAAGCTGATGCCTGTGGCTCTTATCCATCCATGCCACACTGAACACCACGTTGTGTCAGGTGCTCCGGACAGTGGTGGGAGCAGGACCGTCCTCACCTCACCGACGTCACAGGCCTGCTCTGCCCCTGCCCTGGGGCTCTGGGCTCTGGGCCTCCTTCCAGTCTCAGTTCACAAGCTGTCGCCTCGGTGACTGGGACCCCTCTGTTCAAAACTCCACTTCCGCAGACTTCTCCTACCCTTCCCTGGAGTATTTTCCTCCTCAGCGCTTGTAGCCACCTGCCGTGCTCATTGGAATGCTTGCTTTAATTCTCTGTCTCCTACCGGGACGTCAGCGCCGCGAGGGTGGGTTTTTCATCAGAGACGCTCGTGGCAAGTCCCTAGGGCCCGCACAGGGTCTAGTGTACACTGAATGCTTGGTGTTAAAAAATAGGGAGCCCCAGAGCCGGGCTAGTGGTGCAGGCCTGTAATCCCGGCGCAAGCCTGTAATCCCAGCACTCCAGAGGCTGAGGCAGAAGGATCACTGAGTTCCAAGCCAGCCTGAACTAAACAGTGAGACCCTGGTGGGAGTTCAGGGGTTCTGAAGGAGGCAACCTTTTGGGAAGCCCTTTGGGGAGGGCACAGTCTCTGGCTTTGGCGAACATCTGTTCTCTTCTGATTTACAGTTCGGTTAAATTTTTATTTGGTGTTGGGGTGCGGTGGCCCCTTGAACTGAGTTGAGCTGTTAGGATGCAGTACCTGGAGGCTGCCTCTGGAGGACGCAGAGAACCCCGAGAATGCACGGTCTCCCGCAAGCCAGGGAAATGCTGATGGGAGTTCACGTGGAGGGCCCCTGGGTTGAGACCCCAGAGGGAGGTGGGATCTCTCCCTGGAAAGCTAGAGACCCCTGCATGCGCCCAGGTGTTTCCTGCAGTGGCCTCGGAGCTCCCTGCAGGCCGCCTGGCACCAGTGCGTGTGCCCACCCAGGGAGGCCTCCCTGAGGAAGCCACGTTGGCCAGAGACCCTAGAAGGCAGCAGTGTAGAGAGCTCGCGCAGGGGCAGGGCGTGGGCAGAGATCTGAGGCCCCGCGGGGAGATGATCAATTCCTTCCGCGCCCTTTACAGGTCTGCGGAAGTGTTTACCCAAAGCCACCAGGTACCGCAACTTTCCAAGCCCGGTTTATCTTCTGGCCTCTCCTGTGAGGCTCGCCCCTCCACCCCAGCCTCCTCTTCTGTCTGTGGCCCATCTCACTTAGGTCTGTGCCCTGTGGCTTCTTCGCAGTTTCTAATTTCAGGATATGGCCTTTAGGACAGGAAGGTGGAGAGGCTGCTGGGTGAGAGGTCACAGAGTCTGGAAGCTATGGGGACATCCATGCTCAGACCAGTCCCTCTTCTGAAACACTGCCCAGCGCGGAAGTGTTACTATTGTTTCTGTAGTTTACCTGACTCTGACGCTGTGGTTTCTCTTTTCAGTCTGCTTGGCAACGCCCCCTCCCCCCAACAGTACCCGGCGTGCACTCGCAGAGCCTTGTGCTGTACCCCGGGGTTCACAGTGACTGCCGAGGGAAAGGGGGGCTTCTTACACAGACAGTCCTAGGGACATATAGGTGGGGAAAAGAGTTCCAGCTTGGAGTCTGGAGAGGGTGCCCTGGACGGGGACAGACAGGGATCGGGCAGCCAGATCACAGGAGAGACCAGGCTGCCAGAAGGAAGACCTTGGGGGGATGGGGGACTGTTGGAAGGATTGGGGATCCCCTTTCTCCTATGTATGGCAGGACCCCAAGAAGAGTAGTTCCCAGGGTTCCAGGATCAAGGAGGAAGAGGGGATGGCGGTCCCTATGCCCATCAGGGGAAAGACTGTGAGCGGGTGAAGGGATGGGAGTAAGCTGGGAGCAGGTGGCCCCAGGTGCAGCTACCCAGGGTGAGGCCAGTGGGACTGTGTGGGTGCTGGGGTACGCCACCTCCAGGTCTTGGTCATATGGCTGTCTCCTCCTGGAACCCTTTCCTGGCATGCTGGGCAGAACTGGAGCAACTCTAGGTGCACAGGTGCCCAAGCTCTGCTCCAGCCCTCCCCATGGGCCCCTCTTACCCCTGCTGTGCCTGGGAGCCCTCTGAGGGCAAGGGCAGCCTGCCATTGCTGTCCCTGTGCTTGGAACACAGTAAGAAAGCTGTGGACATTAGGGTGGGACAGTCTTGGTGGGCTCCTCTTGCCTCCTTCCTGTGGAATAAGTCAGCCAGCCCCCTGGGGGTGTTAGTCAGGGGCAGGCTCCAACCTCTGAGCCACCAGGGGAAAGCCCAGCAGTCCTGTTTCCATCAGCCCGGGCAGCTCTCTGTCCCCTGCCCTCCTGACCCGGGACCCAGGCCCTGCACCAAGTCCCGAGGCCTGGCATGCTGTGATCCTGGCCTTCACACCCCTGCACTGCACGCTGGGCGACACCATGTGGCTCCGGAAGTGCCCTCTGCCCTCCCCGGAACTCAGGGCCTGCAATTTTCCTTGAACACAGCACTTTCTGACATTGACGCAAACTTCAAATGCAGCTCTCTTTCCTGTCTTTGCATCAAGGAAGAGGTGCACGCCAGTCTGCAGTGAAAGCCCTAAGACACTAGGCCTCCAGGTGGCAGAGGTGCCGGGCACCCAGGGGAGTGGCTGTCCTCAGCCTTCTGCCTGTGTTCTGCTGCCCTGGCCACCCCAGGAGACTCCGGAGCGCCAGGTGGGGGTGGCCGCGTACTCTGGGCTGTGAACTGCTGCATCTTAGCGTGAGTGTGAGGAGGAGGCCGGCGCGGCTCCCAGGCTGGGCCTTGGCTGCCAGAAGCCACGCTGACTGTGTGGGCCCCTGCCATCCATCGAGCCGTCTGCACGACCCCAGGTAGGTTGGGCCCAGATGAGACATGCTGGCTGCTGTGTCTGTGGGGTGGCCTGCATCTGGGGGGAGGGACAGAGCCACCCAGAATCTGCAGGCTGCGGGAGGACTGGAGTGTGCGGGACTGCAGCAGGTGGAGTCCACCTGGAGAAGGAAGCGGGGCTGGCTTGTGGCCGCCGTGAGGAGCAGCTTGCCCCACAGGAGCCAACAGCAGGGGCATCTGTGGTACAGCAATGGCGGGTTCCACAGTCAGGGCTGCGTCCTTTGGCTGGGAGGGAGAGAGACCTCAAGAGAACGCAAAGGTCCCCAGCCCTGGGCTGGTGAACCTGGCACTGAAATGCTGCTGACTCACATAGGCGCTTGGGGTGGGCTATGGCACCGCAGGCCCCTCAGAGGTGAGGGGGCCCAGGGCACAAGGAGCTGGGCTCTGAGTTCTGCTCAGCTGCACTGTGGCCTGGGCAGCTTGCCTGGCCTCCCAGGGCCCCACAGGCGGCCTCTGTGAAGTGCAGATCAAAGGCTTTGGGGAAGGAACAGGACTGCACATGATGAGTTTCGACCCTCTTGTCTGGGGCATGGCAGTGGGCATGCAGTAGGGCCCTAATATGGCATTGCTCGCATGTGAGGGCTCAGTGGGGCGTGCTGGACACACCCGCAATCCCAGCACTCAGGAGGCTGAGGCAGGAGGGTCGCTTAGAGTTCAAGGCCAGCCTGGGCTACACAGTAAGTTCAAGGTCAGCCTGGATTATACAGCAAGACCCTGTCTCAACAAAAATAAACAACAACCACCAAAAAAAGAAATTAGGTTCATGGACACCCTCAAAGGAAGGTCTGGTAGCCAAATTCAGGCTTCTCCCTTTTGCCTACTGGCATGTCCCTGGGGGACCCCGTGTAGGCAGGCAGCATGGATAGTGTTCACATGCACACTTGGGGCCAGGATCCTTGCACCTCTCTGTTTGAATCACCAGTTCTCCCTTCACAGGGGTCCCCATGAGGGTGAAGGGAGGGGTGACACCTGGAGGACCACACTGAGCTCTCCCTGGCAGCCTGGGGGTGAGGGCTGAACCCCAGGGCCAGTCTGCAGAGTCTGTACATATCTACACCTTAGGCTCAGGGCCAGGGGAGGAGGGACGTTGTTTGGCCATATGCAGACACAGAGTCCGCTGGCTCTGGGAACCCGCCCTGGCCCCTGAGCAGCCCAGCTCTCTAGGCTTTGACAGGCAGAGGCAGCCCAAAGTGCAGGGCCGCCTGGGTCAGCCTGGGTCTGGGGGGATGTGGGGGCCTTGGGGACCAGCTCAGAGCTGTGGATTCTGCTCTCTAAAGGGACCTCGAGCCACTGTGGCTTGCAGGGTATGTGGCTCAATGTGACATGCACCTGCTGGGCTGAGGAACAGGGACACAGTTCCCACTGACCAGGTACTGAGGCTGGGGTGGGGGACACCCATAGGGTCCATGCAGGCCGCTGCCCAACTGTGGCTCTGGTCCATTTGGCAGAGGTTTTGGTCCCTCTTTCCTTCCCCTTCTGTTCCCTTCCCCTCCCCTCTTTTCTCTTCTCCTTCTTCTTCCCAGTAAAAATGCCCAAGTGCAGGGATTTTTACACTCAGCCATCTCTCCAGCCTTCTTTATTTTTCATTTTGAGATGGGGTCTCACTAAGTCACTTAAATTGCCCAGTCTGGGCTTGAGTGTGGAACTCTCTTGCCTCAGCCTTCCAGAGTTCTGGGATTATAGGCACGTGCCACCACCCCAGCTCTAGGTGGTGGACATTTATTGGAGGGAAGCATGGAAAGCGAGTACCCTTGGGCTCTGTCTTGGGAAACCCAGTGTGGTCAGGGACAGAGGAGTCAAAAAGATAGCCATTTGTAACGATTAGCTCTGTGACACAGGGTACGAGGGACTTAGGAACCCACAGGAAGTGCCTGGCCAGGCTGGGCACCTTTCAGAGTAGAGGGGAAACTGAGGGACTTATAGGTGGCCAAGAAGGAGAGGCTGGGTTCTGAGCATGCTCAGTGGTGTCTCTGTCCACAGCAGCTGTGCAGTTTGTAGGTGCCCAGTGTGGTGGCTTCTGTCCCCACACTGGGGACACACAAGGGGCTGATACAGGGATGGGACAATACAAAGTCTCCCCCTTGCTGTGCTTCTCTCTGGCAGGGGACAGGGACACTGTGTCCACACAGTGATGCCCATGCCACATGCCAGGTGCTGAAGAGCTGTGAAGCCGGGCCAGGGACGGAGGGCTATGACTGTGTTAGCTCCAGGGCAGAGACAGCCTCGGGAAGGGCGTGACATTCAGGCAGACAGGATCAGGTGGGGGCCAGGGAAGACGCCTGATGAGTGGGACAGGCAGTGCACAGGCCTGAGGTCAGCATGCCTCACCTGTCTGGGGACCTGAGTGACAGCCCCAGAAAGGGCTGGGGTGGTGAGTGAGTGGGGGCAGGGACATAGTACCTGGCCTGGGGGACCATGGTGGGTACTTGGACCTTCACCTGGAGTCAGGTGGGGGCCCTGGAGGCTCTGGGCTGAGCAGGGTGCAACGTGGAAGGCTGGGTGCTGAGGTCCCCTGTCTTGGGCTGTAGTTGGTGAGCTTAGTTGCTGGCCTGGGACCACAGCACGGGGCTATGGGGGGCCACAGGCCCAGGATTCCATCCAACCCAGGGTCAGGATGGAGCCTCCATCCGGCACCGCTGTGGCCTGTAAGGGACCCCAGGACCATTGTGCTGAGGGGCACTTGCAATATCTGCCTGGCACCTGGGGCCCAGGGTGACCAGGAGGGGGGAGAGGGCACGGGGCTCTGGGACAGAGGACAGGGATGAGTGGAGGCCATGCTCTGTGTCCCTGTGGTGTCTTGGGTAGGGGGGTCTCTGTTGCTGACTGAAGCAGAACTCAGAGGCCTCCAGGGAGCAGCTTGTCCCCTCTGTAGCATGACTCTGGAGTCTCAGGTGAACGGCAGCTCTGGGCCTCAGTGTGTGTTCAGGGCCCGTTTACATGCAGTTTAATCTTTAAGGGACTATGCAGGCCCTTCCTCCACTTGCAAGGCTGAGGCAGGAGGGTGGCTGCAAGGGACCTTGCCTCTCTCATTAGACCTTTTTTACCTCCACCGCTTCCAAATACCCCTGCAGTTCCTTTTCCTGTGGAGTGTGTGCGGGGTGTTGTGTGTCTCTGGGACAGACACCATTCACGTCTCCAGGAAGGATACCTGAGGGTCCCTGATCATTCTCCCTGACCCCACTGTCCCTGCGGCCATCCCCATGCTGTGGCTCTGAAGGAGGACCTCAAGCTGTGGCTTCTGGGCTGGCTGGGGAGGAACAGGTCGTGGTTCGGCCCAAGCCCTGCAGTCGCCTAGGGTAAAGCCTGACCTTGGGGCTCCGGGAGGCCATGCCTGTGCAGGCCCTCACTCAGCATGCAGGCTCAGGGTCTGGTCACACATGACACTGCCTGGCGGCCCCTTCTGTTGCCCCATCCTTGGGCCTCCTGCGATCCAACCCGAGGTGCTAATGAGGGTAGCCCAGGAAGGTAGAGGGTGCTGTCACCCACAGTGAGCCAGGGAGGATGGGAGGGGCTGACTGGCAGGGTGACCTCCTGCTGGGCCTGGGTCTGAGGGCTGACACCGGCTCAGCCTCCCTTTTCTTCTTCACGACCCACTTCCTGCTACCCAGGTTGCACCTGCGACCACCGCGGGGCGGAGCTACAAACCATGTTGCAGGCAGCTTCCCGCCACAGCTTCCTGTCCCATAGCCTGCCTGCTTGCCAGTCCCAGGTCCCGGGACATCTCTGGTCCTGCCTGGCCCCATGCCCCCTGCTGGAAGTGGTGGGAAGGATGATGGATGGGTGGGCGCCACCCACAGGGCGCTGTGGACGGAAGTGTGGACGGGAACTGCCAGACAGGCAGACAAGAGCCAGCTGGGGCCAAGGGCTGTGGAGCTGGGCACGAGGGAACCACAGAAGGTTCTGGAGTGTGGACACCCGTGGGGAAGACTTTCTCTGAACGGCTTGTGGGCCCCAGAGCTCAGCTTGAGTGGAAACTGAATGTGGGTTCAGCCAACCACAGGTGCCTCCAGAGTTAGATCTGGATCTCGGGTGTATTAATAGAAACTGTTGGTGGAGATCAAAGGAGGTAATGCCAGCACAGCCGACCTCAGGCAAGAGATCTCGGCTGGCGGGCAGCTGGGTGTGGGGCTGGGGTAGCTACAGACAGGGTGACCCCGGGGGGGTGGGGGGCGGGCTGGGGCGGGAGGACAGAGACAGCGCAGGGAGAATCAGTGGGAGGAAGCGCTGGGCCGATTGCCCAGGACCAGAGAGGTCAGGGAGGCTGAACCAGAGGGTGCAGTTGCTGTGTCCCCTCGCTGGAGACCTGGTGTTGAGGTGGTGATTTAGGTACAGGGCAGCAGCTGGGGTGCAGTGTAGGGTGCACTGAGAGCTGGGGTTGGAGTCGAGGCAGTGGGACACCTGTAGACGGCCCTCTGGAACTTGTCCTACATCAGTAATTATTGTTTCATTGGAGAGAGGTGTGTCTGCCCAGACCCTCCCTGCTCAGTTAAAAACAGTACAATTTCTCTGCAATAAAATTTATATACCTTCTCAGTGAAAAATTCTGAGACTCAACAAGTGATTACAGCCGAGAAAACACCACCTCCACCACCAGGTGGATTCTATGAGTGATCTTGCAGGCCTGTAACCCCAGCACTGGGGAGGCTGAGGCAGGAGGGTGGCCAGTTTGAGACCCAGCCTGGCTACACAGCAAGTTCAAGGTCACTGTGGATTAGCAAGACCCCGTCTCAAAAACCAAAAACCAAGATGCCGGCTAGGCCCAGCCTCTCCTGCGTTTTGTACCCTGTGTAGCCCCACTTACCCGGAGACCCCTGGTTTGATCTCCATACCCTGGGCTTTGAAGGGGGCCAGAGCCTGGCGTCTTACACAGTGGAATGCTTTGGGACATAGACACCTTCATTCCTCCTGTTCTATTGTGGAGTACTGTTCTGCCCTCCTCATCTACTGAAAAATATTTCTACTGTTCCCTGTTACAGAAGTCATGATTGGGAATGTTCTCTGTGTTCCTTGTTTCTAATCTTTATTTTATTTTATTTTTTTGGCAGAGTCAGGGATTGAACTCAGGCCCTTGTGCTTGCAGGCAAATGCTTATTCCGCTGAGCCATCTCCCCGGCCCCCATGTTCCTTGTTTCTATATGCATTTGTCATTTCTCTAGGGTGGACACCTAGGAGCCCTTGCGACTCATTTTAAACATTCTTATGGCATGGAGTCCTTACTGCTTTTGAGACAGGGTCTCGGTATGTAGCTCAGGATGGCCTTGAACTCCTGGTGATCTCCTGCCTCAGCTTCCTGAGTGTTGAGATTACAGGTGTGCACCACTGCGCCTGGCTAAAAATGACTCTTAGAACACACTTCTCTACGTGGGAACATGAATGCAGTCCCTGATGACCCCTTGGGGCACCTGCCTGCACCCAGATGCCCCTCCAGCCTGGCCCTCCCCATCACAGGGTCAGAAGCCACCTGGTCAGAGCAGCATTAGAGCCACCTGGCCCCTCCCCAGTGTCCTCCTGGCCCCACTCCAGTGTCCTCCCCTCTCTCCAATGCCATCTCAGCTTGTCCCCAACACCCAGGCAGGAGGAAGCCGTGTTTCTCAACCCACAAATGCTTCCTCCCCGCCTCCCCATTTGTATAATTTAAGGCACACCAGAATGCTTGCCGTCGCAGGGGAGAGAGAACCCATCACCCCCAGGGGACCATGGTATTATCAATATTATCTGAAAGACTGCAGACACCCGAAGAGTGCACTGTGCCTCTCCCCCTGTGGCCCCGGGGTGCTGCAGCCCCCATTTTGGTTCATTTATCATGTGATGTTCAACCCTATTCCACTGATCCCCATCTGTGAATGCACCCACCGGCTACAGCGAAGTCGCCGTCCTGGCCCAAGATGGTGGTTTTCAGTCATTTGCAGACAGAGATGTGAAATCCTTAAGGTGACCCATTCACACATGTCCCCCCGATGCCCGGCCAGGTGTCCCTTTGCACATTGTAGAGCAGTGCCTTCTCATAGCCTATTTGATGCCTTTGTTAGCTTTGCAAATTTCTGCTGTTCGTTAGTGATTTCATGATTTAAAGTGGCTCTGAGCACCTTGCAGAAGTGCCGTCGGGTGATTCTCTGTATAGGAAGGAGAGGACTCATGCCACAGGAGCTACAGTGCCGCGGGCTGCAGTCTGCGCCAAGAGTCTGTGTTCACAGACGGCTCTCTAGCGTGGCTCGGGCCCTGTTTGTGTAACGTAAGCGTCTACCACTGAGCTGCAGCTCTGGCCTGACTGTGTATACAGCAGTCCTTCGCTACTTTTGCAGGCTCACTGTTTTTCAGGTTTTCAAAAAAATATTAATCTAAATTTATCACAGCTATTTTGCTATATTGCAGGATTTTACAGGTCCATACAGTATATATATGTTGTTAAAATTATGTAGAGCCGACCAGATAGCTCAGTGGATTAAAGCGCCTGCTCAGGCAGATGTGGGGACTGGGGCTCCATCCCCCGTGAGTTGTGCCGACTTTGCCTTCGGGGCTCAAGATTGTGACTGGGCGTGGTGGCATGTTCCTGCAATCCCAGCATTTGGGAGGCTGAAAACAGGAGGATCACTGGGTCCAATCTGTGTAGTGAGACCCTGTAGACCCTGTACTAAATACAGAAAATTAAATTAAATTATTTAGGATTATGAGCTTAGAAAATGGTTAACATTAGAAGTGTTTTTAAAAGTGTGGGAAAGGTTTATAAGAGTGTGGGAAGGATTTATAAAGCCTTAAAATATATGTAAATACTAAAATTATTGCGGGTTTGTCTGGATCATAACCTCTGCGATAAGTGAGGGACCACTGTATTAAATAAAGCTCCTTGAGCTGGGTGTGCTGGCCACGTGCCTGTTATCCCTGCTACTTGGGACGCCCAGGCAGGAGGACTGTGAGTTTGAGGTCAGCCTGAGACAACATAGCGAAACCCTGTCTCAAAAAAAGAAAAAGAAAAAAAAAAGTGTTGAAATAGAAACAAAAAATATGGTTATGCACTCAGTACTTCATGAAAATACTGTGACCAGAATTTCACAGGAACGTAAATCTGTGTCCCCTATAGGAACAGTGATTTAGCATTTGCTAATTTAGCATGTGCAGTTTTGTTTTTTTTTTTAAATTTCATTTATGTATTTGGTACAGGGTCTCACTACGCAGCTTGGACTTGTAGTGATCCTCCTGTTTGCAGCCTCCCCAGCGCTGGGATTCCAGGCGTGCACCACCATGCCCTGACTAGGTGGGGGGCTCAGCGTGCCTCGGGAGAGGCGGGCGTGGCATGCTGGACGGGAGATCAAACCCTGGTGCCTGTGCTTGCCAAAGCAGGCAGTTAGTCCGCTGAACTATCTCACCTGTCCCAATTATTATTATTATTATTATTATTATTAATTTTTAATACAAGTATGAAGAACAAGAATAAGCTGCATCTGGTGCTTACCTGCCTACCCATCAAGCAGTGTCTTCTGGGATGGTTTTCAAAGTAAAGGAAGATGGCCAGCACCCAGCGCACCTAGCCACTCTCCATGCTGGTCGTTAACCAGGGCTTCACATTTTAGGGTTCTTTTGATTGGGGGGCAGCGCACACAAAGAGGACAGGCCTTAGTGACCTCTCTCTGAGTTTTGATAACTGCAGGCCCCTGTGGGAGCCAGTTCTATTCAGATAGAGGGCATCACCGTCGTCCCACAAAGCCTAGGCTTGGTGATGTGAACGACCTGCCTGATGGCGCTATCTGCGCGTCCATCTGTCCTCCAGGCTGAGGGGAGGTTGGTGGAGGGTCGGGAAGGAAGCGCAAGCTGCCCCCTCTGCTCCAGGCCTTCGCTCCCTCGCTGTGAGAGTCTGCCTCTGCCTCCTCAGACTGCGCTTGGCTCAGATGCTTCCTTTTGAGAGCAGGTCGCCGTCCTAGCTCGGGGGCCTCTTCCTTCCCTTAACACCTCTCCATCTCCTTTGGAATCCTGACCCTGGCGAGCGATAACTAGGGTGTCCCTGTCTTTGTTTCCTGTGTCCCTTGCCCTGAGTTTCTTGCGCAGGGCCATTGTCTGCCTTCCGCGTCCCAGCCCTCAGCTTGAGGCGGGCCACATCGCCGGGCTCCGGCGTCGCTGTGGCGGGCACGCACAGCCCCGGTGCGTGGGGCAGCGGGGGTCCCCGAGCGTGCCCGGCGGCCTGCCCCGCCCGATGCCGCCTCTGTTCTGCCCACAGGCACGCGCCATGCCGGACCCCGCGGGGCACCTGCCCTTCTACTACGGCAGCATCTCGCGCGCCGAGGCCGAGGAGCACTTGAAGCTGGCGGGCATGGCCGACGGGCTCTTCCTGCTGCGCCAGTGCCTGCGCTCGCTGGGCGGCTACGTGCTGTCCCTGGTGCACGACGTGCGCTTCCACCACTTCCCGGTCGAGCGCCAGCTCAACGGCACCTACGCCATCGCGGGCGGCCGCGCGCACTGCGGCCCCGCCGAGCTCTGCGAGTTCTACTCGCGCGACGCCGACGGGCTGCCCTGTGCCCTGCGCCGCCCGTGCAACCGGCCGGCCGGGCTCGAGCCGCAGCCCGGCGTCTTCGACAGCCTGCGCGACGCCATGGTGCGCGACTACGTGCGCCAGACCTGGAAGCTGGAGGTGAGCGCGGCGACACCCCAGGGGGCCGAGGCTGGGGCCCGGTGAGGGCCAGGAACGGAGCCCCCGGGCCGCCCCTGGCCACCCCTCCAGCGCCCCTCGGCCTCCTCCCCAGGGCGAAGCCCTGGAGCAGGCCATCCTGAGCCAGGCGCCGCAGGTGGAGAAGCTCATCGCCACCACCGCGCACGAGCGGATGCCCTGGTTCCACAGCAGCCTCACGCGAGAAGAAGCCGAGCGCAAGCTCTACTCGGGTGCGCAGACCGACGGCAAGTTCCTGTACGTGGCCGGGAGCGGGGTGGTGGTGTGCGGGCCGTAGTGCCCATGTGCACACGTGCACGGGGCCGGGCAGTGCTGGTGTGCTAAGGCGATCTCCATGACCCCCACCCTTTTCTTTCTTTTTCCTTTGGAGACAAAGTCTAAGTTGCTGAGTTGCCTGGTCTGGGCAAGAACTTTTGATCTTCCTGCCTCAGCCTCCCAGAGTGCTGGCATTACAGGAGAGCACCGCCAGGAACATCTATAAAGGACTGTAGCAATGAGTGTGAGGGAAGCCAGGGCTGAATCCCCTGCAGCGGGGGTGGGGTGGGCTGGGGGAGGAAGTGTCCACCTTCTATCACCTACTGGCTGTGGGCTTCCTGTGGCCGAACTTCTGCCGGCTCGGTTTCCTCTCTGTGTGACCAGTGTTTACAGAACACTTACCAGGTGTTGTGACCTGGCTTCGAACCTGAAACTAGTGCCTGTCTTTGTGGGGCAGATAGAAGACAAAGACTAGCTAGTGGGGCTGGTGAGATGGCTCAGTGGTCTAAAGCACCTACTTAGAACAAGCTTAGCAAAGCACAGGGACCGCGGTTCAATCCCCCAGCACCACATGCCAGCCTGCCCCGCCCCCTGGTGTGCTGAGCTGGCCACACACACACACACACACACACACACATACACACACAAATAAATAAATAAAAAAATAAAAATAAAAAAAAGACTAGCTAGTACCATCCCAATCGTACCAGGGGGTGCTGTGTGCTGTGTGTGTGTGTGGGGGGGGGGGGGGTCACAGTGTCAGGCCAGGTGGCTGGGGACGCCTTCCCCAGAGAGGAACTAGACAGGGCCCCAGGGCTGCATTCGGACTTGGTAGTCTTGAGCTTGTGCCTCCACGGTGTGCTGTTCCCAGCACTGCAAAGCTGAAGACGGGAAGGACCTTGCACTTGCCTTGGAGGAGGGCACTACCCAAAGGCCAGGAGGCAGGCATTTATTTGGAAAGTTCGAGAAATAAGGAGAGAGGCTTTGTGTTACTTTTCTCCTCTTGCTGAGACAAAATACGCGACACCCAGTGATAAAGAAGGAAGGGTTTATTAAGCTCCTTTCAGTCCCTAATCAGCTGCCTCCAAGGCTGGGTGGTGTGGAACAGGAGAAGGATTCGAGTCAGCAGAAGACAGCAAAAGCAGCGAGAGCAAAAGTGGAGGAGGGGGCAAGCCTTTCCCTGCCTTAATGGTGAGCCGGCGTCACACCTTCCCCCTGCTCTCCTCTTGCACAAGCACAGGATGTTTAGGGAGTAAGGACCCTGGCCCCCTGCTGAGTCACTTAGTTACTCTTAGAACTTCTCAAGTTGACACAACATATCAATCCTTACAGGCATTTATTTGGAAAGTTGTAGAAATAAGGAGAGGTCAGGGTGGGGGAGGTGAGAGAGTCCCCAGAGAGGGGACTGCGGTTTGGTTTTGTCACAGGTGAGGTTAGAGTCGTTCAGAAATGGCCGCCTGGTTCTTCTCCCTGCGTTGTCCCTTCCCCACAGTCACCTGGTTTGGGCAGTGTGACTTGCTTGGGTCTGTCTGCCTGTCTTACCCCAAGGACCAGCCTCCGGGCTCAGGCAACAGTGCACGTCCAGTGTGTGTGCAAAGTACTATGAAGATTGTGCTGGTTGCACGTGGCTGATGGCATGTCTGTGTCCCGGAAGTGCTGAGGCTGAGTGGCTGATTGTGACTTGTTTGGGTCAAGGCATCTCCAAAGTGTTTCTGAACACTGCCAGGGTGGCTGAAAGCCTGTGGGGTTGCTGCTGTCTGGTTTGGATGCAGCTCTTCTGTGTACAGATGTTACCCTGAGGTCAGCTGAGGTCATTTGGTCCCTGGGTTTCCCTAAGAGGTCCGAGGGGATCGATTCCCAGGGCCTCGCTGCCTGGGTGCGCATTGTTCCGAGTCCTGGCTGAACGATTCCTGCTGGAGGCACTGAGGCCCTGAGCCCCACCCACGCGAGGCCTGGAAGTCTCCCAGAAGAGCAGCCCTCCCTGGACTCTGCTGTCCGTTTTTGCTGTGTAACTGCCCTGGGACTTGCTCACTGGCTCAGGATGGCACAGTCCGTCGTATCTCATGCTTTTGTGAGCTGAGTGATCAATTTAGTTTGACTGAGCAGGGCGGGGACTGGACAGTTTGGGATGGCTGAGCTCCAGTGTTACCTGGGAGGTGCAGTGAGCGGGCTGCTGAGCCATCACAGTGTGGCTGGCAGGCCGGCCTGGGGGCCCCCCTCACACAGCGAGGCCTAGGGTTCCCAAGAAGAGCCCGGGAAAGCAAGTTCTAGTGCGCTGTGGGGAAGGGCGTTGCTGGAGGGAGAGGCGTTTGCTGCCATTTGCACCAAGAGGCTCAGTTAGGCCTGGAGCATTCCAGGTATGGCACTGGGCTGGCTTTCTTTGCTTTTGCCCTTGTGGGTAGGGCGTCCAGCTGCTGATGGCGTTCTGGGGCATGGAATGGCTGCTCCAGATGTGGCCCTCCTTTGTCCAGATGCTGCACCCAGGGCGATGCTCACTATGATGTCCCTGAGCCGGGTGGCATGATGTCACATGCACACCCCACCTGCACCACAGAGCCCTTTGGGAATCCTGGTGATGCCCAGCTCTTCTGTGGTCCCTCATGTCTGCTTTCCCCTACTATAACGAATGGCAGCGATAAATAAATGTACAACAGGAAGTTGCCTTCTGGAGGTGCTGGTCCACCGTCCTTGGGGTCTGCGGTCTTCGGCTGGGCAGGGCTGCTCATTGTGGTGGAGATGAGCTGCTCACCTCGTGGGTGGGAGAAGAAACAGGAAGCGCTGCACCACCCAAAGGTGCTGCCAAGCCCCCGCCGCCCCCAGCTCCCCTTCCCAATGGCGTTACAGCTGGGGTGTGCTGCCCCCCGCACACAGCCTCTGGCGGGCAGCACATTTACCCAGAAGGCTTTGCAGACACAGCAAGATGGTGCCTGGTCCTGAGTCTCCTCCGTGGAGCCCTTTTCAGGTTCAGAACTTCTGCTTTAGTGCAAGTTTCTCAGTCTACCGTGAGGCTACGGGGCACCGAGAGGATAACAAGCTTGCTGGACGTGACATGTGTGTCAGTCCAGGTAGTCCTTCCCAGGGGGGTCAGAAGCGGGTCTGGATCCTGGCCCTCCCTCTTAGCAGCTGTGCAGTTTAGGAAAGAGATAGGGTCTCTCTGCTGAGTGTTCAGCGCAGGGGTAATAAGAGTGTCTGCCTCGTGTGAAGTGCTGAGAAAACTGAGTGACAAATATGTCGGAATTTAGAACCATGGTCTAATAAATACTAGCTGTTTCCTCTTATTCTTTCTCTTTCTCTTCTTTTCCTCCCTCATCATCATTATCATCACCCTTATCTATTTGTGGCACTGGGGATTGAACCCAGGGCCTTCACACTGAGCTATAGCCCCAGGTTTTTTTTTGTATTTTTAGTACAGGGCCTACAGGGTCTCACTATGTAGATTAGACTCATAGTGATCCCCCTTTGTTCAGCTTCCCAAGAGCTCGGATTACAGGCAGGCACCACCATCCCCCATCTGCCAGTTCTTTTTATTCTTTATTTTTCTGAGTGGGGTCTTGCTGAGCTACTTAGTAGCCCGCAGGGTTTGAGTTTGCAGTCCTCCTGCCTCAGCTTCCCTACTGGGATTCCACCTGAGCGCTGCCTGCCCCAGTTAGCATCTCCATATTATTTAAGAGCCCAGACTCATGCTAATTTCTTAGCCTCCACCTCTAGTTAATGGGCAGGTTCAAACACAAAGGCAGAACTGCGTCTGATAGTTCTTTTGTAAAGTAGAAATTGTGGCATTGAAGTGGTCACAAAACTGATGTCTCAGCCTGGGAATTTACCCACGAGTTGGTGGCTGCTGCTTCCAATGTGTCCCTTTCCGGAGAGAGTGTATAGCGAACATTCGCTGCATTACAGGCTACCCTAACACACAGCTCACGAGTAAGGGGCTTTAATAGCCGTGGGTTCTCTCTTGGCAGTCTGGACTGTTTAGCAGGTTGGTTCTTCTGCTGGCTCTGTGAGCTTGCTCATGTGGCTCCAGCCCGCTGGGAGGGTACTCGGGCTGGACAGTCCAGCACGGCTTCACTCATGAGTCTGCAGAGGGCAGGCCGGGGGCTGTTTCCCTGTGTGGGCCCTCTAACTAGCCGGCTCATACAGATCCATTTCCATAAGCGGGCACAGGCTTGCCAGGAAAACAGAGCTTAGCCAGGGCTCCATGGCAACCAAGCCTCTGTGTTGTGCTGCGCCAAAACCACTCACATGGTTGAACACTGACTTGACAGATAGTGAAATACAGACGCCATTATGGGCAGCGAGAGCTGCCTAGTTCAGTGGGGGCTTCTCCCTGCCTGTATGGTCCGTACATGTTTGATGGTGAGTGGTTCAGCATGGAGTTTCTGATGTCTGTTTAAAACTTAAGGTTATGGCTGAGGGTGGTGTGGTGATACACACCTCTAAACCCAGGGCGCTGGGAGGCTGAGGCAGGAGGGTCGCAAGTTGCCAACCTGGGCAGTTGAGCATTGTGAGGCCCTCTTGCTGCCCCCCACCCCCTGGGGTGTCTGTCTTTCCATGTGTCCCTGTAGTGGTTCAGGTCTGCCCAGGGGCTTTGTTGCATGTCCCTGCGCTGTTGTCAGGGTTGTTTGGGGGTGGGAGGGGCACTCACAGCTGCCTCTTTGCAGAGCTGAGTGGTGTAGGCGAAGGTACCTTGTTCCTTTGTCCTAAGGAAGGGCCTGCTAGCAAGATGGACTTCTCTCTTTTTTTTTAAATGTTTATTTATTTATTTGGTACAGGGTCTCACTATGCAGCTCAAATCCATAGTGATCCTCCTATCTCAGCCTCCCCAGGGCTGGGATTACAGTTGTATACCACTGTGCCCAGTTTCAGGGCAGGAACAGCATATAGTATTGGGGATCAAAATTGGGTCCTTGTACTTGCCGGCAGGCGCTTAGACCACCGAGCTATCTCCCCAGCCCGGACTTCCCTGTCTTATTCACTATGTCCCTGCCTGTGTGCTCGTAAATATCTATCCATGACCGAGCTGCACCAGTGGTGCCCACACCCTGGCTGAGTGACTCTGGGGTCCATGCCCTGGGGACAAGTGGGCAGCACAGTAGCAAGCTCACTGTCCCTCAGCATAGGCCCCGGCCAGAGCCTGCACCTTCTATATCTCTGAGGCCCTAGGACAGCTGACCACCTTCCCCTGGGAATCTGCACCACTCCCTGGAGCTCTTGAGCAGGTGCCAGAGACCCAGCCACCCTGCTTGGTGGGCGACCTTGGTGGTTTCGTCTGGTTGTCACTTGGCCTGGGTGTGTGTGCAGGGGTGTGCGTGTGCATGCGTGAATGTGCGTGAGGGCAGCGGGTGGACAGACCTTCCTGCATGGTCTGTGAGGCCAGCAGTTCCCATCACAGATGCAGAAGGTTTGAGGAGTTATTTGATGTATGTCCAGCAGAGGGCAGTGGAGGGCTGCATCTCCCCTAACCAGTCTGTACTGTGCAGAGGTGACTTGCCGTGACTTGCATAAGGGGACCCAGAAAGAAGTCACAGTTGGGGTCCCCAGGTGGGCCAATGTGGAAGTGGTTTTCTGTGCCCAGGAAGATGATTGAGTCTGTCTGCTGAAGACCAGAGTCCCCTGTGCTTGCTGGAGATGGCCTCGCGCATGGCGAGCTGTCCCCTGTGGGTGACTGCGTGTCCCCCAGTGGATGCCAAGTGTCTGGCCATGGGCAGCCATGTGTTCAGCCACGGGGGACCAGGTGGACCCCTGGAGCCTATGGCTGAGCAGGTGGTGTGGGTAGCTACGTGACCAGCGTGGGCAGTCAGTGTTTCCTCAAGGGCCACGTGTCTGCCTATGGACAGTGGCCATTGCCCCCTCTACTCCCCAATGGCCTGTCACCAGGAAATGACATCACCAGGAGTGGCAGTTGGGTGACATCTGACCTGGGCTTCTCTGGTCCCCCTGGAGTTCATAAAGTGTGCATCTGGGGACACTGAGGGGTGGAAGGACCTCAGGTGGCTGTAGAGGTGACGGCCTCTTCACCCTGCAGGCTGAGGCCCCGGAAAGAGCAGGGCACCTATGCGCTGTCCCTGATCTATGGGAAGACCGTGTATCACTACCTCATTAGCCAGGACAAGGCGGGCAAGTACTGCATCCCCGAGGGCACCAAGTTCGACACCCTGTGGCAGGTAGAGCCATTCACCGTTCTGGGGGATGTGGGCACAGGTACCTGGGCCCCTGCCTGATGCCCGCTCCCTGCAGCTGGTGGAATACCTGAAGCTGAAGGCTGATGGACTCATCTACTGCCTGAAGGAGGTCTGCCCCAATACCAGCGCGGAGGGTGAGCACGGCGTCATGCCTGGGGGTGGGGGGAGGGTCCAGGGACCGCAGCCCTCACTGTCCCCTCTGCTTCCTCAGAGACCATTGCTCCCACACTTCCTGCCCATCCATCCACGTTCACCCATGTGAGTCAGGGCTTCTCAATGTGGGGGTTGGGGCTGGGCTGACCCTGGAGAGGAAGGGGGTCCCCTGCATGTCACTAGGAGTCCTTGCTGGCCCTACTCACTGTTTTGATCCTGTGATCTTTAGGCCCAGAGACGGGTGGACACTCTCAACTCTGATGGATACACCCCAGAACCAGGTGAGCAAGTCAGATAAAAGTGGGGGGCCTTATGCTTAGCTGGGCGTGGGTCCCCAGCCCTGTGGAGCTCAGTGGGAGGATGAGGCCAGCCTGCAGGGGCTGCGCAGCTGACCCTGTGTACATGTGTGCTCCTGCCGTCCTGCCTGCACTTGTGCACTGGCTTGTGCTGCTGTGGCCGGACACCTGGGAGCTACACACCTGCACATACTGGCCGTACCTGGCCACACCCGCTGTGAGCACTCTTGTGAGATGCTCCTTCCCACCCCTGCCCCGGTGTTCACACTGCCTGTGTGCCCAGCGCGCCTGGCACCTGCAGACGAGCCACGGCCGATGCCCATGGACACAAGTGTGTACGAGAGCCCCTACAGTGACCCCGAAGAGCTCAAGGACAAGAAGCTCTTCCTGAAGCGTGAGAACCTGCTTGTGGCTGACATTGAACTTGGCTGCGGCAATTTCGGCTCAGTGCGCCAGGGCGTCTACCGCATGCGCAAGTAGGACCACCTGGGTGGGGCAGGCTGTGCCAGAGGGGGCCCTGGGAAGCTGGGAACACAGGAGAGGGGGTGAGAAGATGCAGGCCTGTGCTGGGGTGCTTGGGTGGCTGAGCAGCTACGGCAGAGGCCTGGCCAGCCCAGTGCGAAGACAGGCAGGGGGCGTCGGCTGGGCTCTCTGGGGCCTGGGCACGGGAAGCCGTCCTCAGTGGGGGCCCAGGCCTTGGCTCACACCCACCTCTGGGTAGGAAGCAGATCGATGTGGCCATCAAGGTGCTGAAGCAGAGCACGGAGAAGGCGGACAAGGATGAGATGATGCGGGAGGCGCAGATCATGCACCAGCTGGACAACCCCTACATCGTGCGGCTGATAGGCGTGTGCCAGGCCGAGGCGCTTATGCTGGTCATGGAGATGGCAGGTGGCGGGCCGCTGCACAAGTTCCTGGTTGGAAAGAAGTGAGGCCTGGGGCAGGGGGTGGGGCTTGCTCAAAACCCCCAGCACCTTGGCTCTGACCCTGCACCCCTGCTGGAGTGCAGCTGCCACCCTCCTGTGTCCCTGAGGGCCCCTTGGGGTGTCACAAGGTTCAGCCCAGCGGCTCCTGTGCATTTACACCCATAAAATGCTTCCAGCACATCTGGCCCAGCTGGAAGAGCTTCGTAGCGGGGAGCCCCACCACCCTGCCTGAATTCTCCAGGCCAAGTTCACGCCCATGGGAAGTTGCTCACTGTTGCCTCTGTGACCTAACACGGGGGCAGCGAACAGCAGCCCCGCTTGCTTTTGTATCCATGGTTTTATATTTTTGAAGGGTTCAACATGAAACAAAACCACCAGAGTATGTGACAGAGGGCATGGGCTGGCAGAAGCTACGGCGTGTGCTCCCTGGCCCAGGGCAGAAATATGTGCCGTTCCATCCGTGTTTGTGTGTGCCCTGCTTGCACACTCTGCAGGCTGCTGCTGGGGATGGTACATGCTCCTGGGCACGCACGCCTTCGCTGCAAGTGCCTGGCCCTGCTTCCAACCCTGGACGGCCTCGCCATGCTTGGCAGGCCCCGGGAGCAGGGCTGTCTATCCCCCTGACCCGTCTCCTCCCCAGGGAGGAGATCCCCGTGAGCAACGTGGCCGAGCTCCTGCACCAGGTGTCCATGGGCATGAAGTACCTGGAGGAAAAGAACTTCGTGCACCGCGACCTGGCAGCCAGAAACGTCCTGCTGGTCAACCGGCACTATGCCAAGATCAGCGACTTTGGCCTCTCCAAGGCCTTGGGTGCTGATGACAGCTACTACACAGTGAGCCCCCTGCCTGTGGTTCTGGGGTGGGGTGGGGTGGGCAGAGCGTCCTGAGTCCCCTCGTCCTAGCCACATCTCCCCGGCCCCAGGCCCGCTCCGCAGGGAAGTGGCCCCTCAAGTGGTACGCACCCGAGTGCATCAACTTCCGCAAGTTCTCCAGCCGCAGCGACGTGTGGAGCTACGGGGTCACCATGTGGGAGGCCTTCTCCTATGGCCAGAAGCCTTACAAGGCAGGCAGGCGGGGACAATCTGGGACAGGTGAGCGGGGTGGGGGAACAGGAGGTGCTGTCACTCACACTGCCTGGTCCTGGTCAGTAGAAGATGAAGGGCCCTGAGGTGCTGGAGTTCATCAAGCAGGGCAAGCGGATGGAGTGCCCGGCCGAGTGCCCACCCGAGATGTATGCGCTCATGAGCGACTGCTGGATCTACAAGTGAGTGCTGGGGCGGGGAGCCTGCCGGGTCCAGGCCTGGGCCTGGCACCCGGCCATTAGCGTCGCTGCGGCTTTCGCGTGTCAGCCCATGCAGAGGTCTGTGCCCAGTCCACGGCCTCACTGACGCTCGGCCTACCACCCCGCCTGCCACCACTCAACATGTGGAGCCCACAGGCCTCACCCAGCACGAGACCTCTTTCTTGGGCATGCAAGGTTCTCAGTCCCTAATCCCTCGGCCCCTCCAGCCAGGCGCTCCGCACCTGGGTACCCAGCTAGGCCAGCATCGAATGCGCAGGCCTCACATATCCAACCCCACCCAACTGCTCGACCCCCGGTACCCTCATCCCAGCAGCAGCGGTCCCTCCCTCACAGATGGTGTCACCCTCCACTTGCCCCTTGGCTCCGTGGTTGCTGCTCCAACCTCTGAGGGCTCCGTTCTCCCAGGACCCTGTCCGTCAGCAACACCACGATTCCAGGGCGCACACCCCAACACCTGCATTACCTAGCAGTCTCCCCGCCCAGTGGCCCATTCACTTCTGGGGCACCCCATAGGTCCACCACAGCCAAGCCCCATGCAAAGCCCCCTGCAGGCTGAAGCTGGGGGCTGGGTGTGGTCAGTGTCGGGTCTGCACCCCACAGGTGGGAGGACCGCCCTGACTTCCAGACCGTGGAGCAGCGCATGCGCACCTATTACTACAGCCTGGCGAGCAGAGCTGAGGGGTCCCCGAAGGGCTCACAGGGGCCGGAGGCTGCATGCGTCTGACCTCTGGCCCCGTGGAGCCTGGGACCCCAGCCTGACCTTGGTCCTCTAGGCCTGGGTCTGCCTCAGGACTGTGGCTGTAGGGCCCAAGGGTAAGGCTGGGGTCCAAGGCCTTCCGGGCTTCAGTCGCTAGAATAAACTCAGCTTCTCTTTTGCCTGGGCTCCTCGTCTTTCTGGGAGGAGGCCAACCCGGATGCCCCTGGGGTGGGCACTGGAAGGGGTGGGTGGGAAGTGCCAGGTGCTCCAGAGCAGCTTCTCCCCTTCTCTACATGGAGAGCATCTTCAGGAAGAACAGGGAAACACCAGGTGTGTGTGTGGGGGGGGCAAAGGGCTGTGTGCACTGCCTCAGTTTCCCTGCCTGTTCAACTGCTCCCACTTTCCCCTTGGGCATGCCTCAGGCACAGCTGTGGTCGCTGTCACTTGCTCCAAGGGTCAGCTCAGCCCTGCACACAACAGTCCCCGTCTTGCTGCCTCAGTTTCCCCACGTGGGAAATTGGATTGTTGGAACACAGGACACCGAAGAGGACTGAAAGGCGGCCAGGACCCTGCACTGCTTTTCTGAGCTGCCCTCTCCCAAGGGGGACAGGCTCCACCCCAGTGCTTCACCAGTCCTTGTTCTCATTGGCCCGAGCCTGTCTGGGACAGCATGTGACCCACAGCAGCCAATGAGAGGCGAGCCTTGGTCAGCTCCTTCGTATTTGTGATGTGGAGCTGTTTTGTGGGACCACAGGGAGTGGAGTGGGGGCCACAGAGTCCGAGGCACAGAGAGGGGTTCTGCACCTTGGGGACATGTGAACACGGTGTGACGCTAGGAGGCCAGCCCGGCGCAGGCCTCGCCATCTACTATTGGGTTTTAGTGATTTAAATGTCAATCAATTTAGCACATTTTGCTACTTTTCTTTCAATGACCCTTGTGTTCTCCGTGGAAGCCGACTAGGGCAGGGACACAGTGACTTATCCTGTGCGTGGGGTGTCTGGGATGCTCGCGGTGTTGGAGGGCCTGTGACCCCTGCCAGGCCTGGCTGCTGGGTCACAGACGACAAAGCACAGCTAATTGCAAAGATAAAGACATGGAACTCGGACTGCACCAAGTCTGTCACTGTGTGCGACCTCTTGGCAGTTTTGCGTGATTAAAATGTAATATACTAGTGCCTAAATGTTAAATGCAAACATTGTTTTTTTAATTATTTGCCTTAAGACTAATAAATGAAGGAAAGACACAGCAGCGGTGTGCTTCAGTGGCTTTCTGAATTCCTGTTTGCAGGTAGCTCGGTTTTATTAAAGTTCACTTATAACAGGATGATGATTTATGTTATTGCATAAACTATACCGGAGGGTAAATACAACTTCACTTCTTTTATGTTAATTATCATTCAATATTTCACCGGGAACCCAGGGGCTTCGCTGGGCTGCACAATGGACCAGGGAAACACGGTGCAGTTCCACCACACGGCCATGAGGTGGCGCTGCTGCAAAGCCCAGGCCAGCCGGCTGCTCACCGAATCTCCCGACTCTACAGTCTTTTTTTTTTTTTTTTCTTTCCGGAACCAGGGATCGAACTCAGGAAGCGCTTATTCCAACTGAGCCACCTCCCCGGCTGGGTCTTGGCCGCTGCTAAGCGTTCACGCCGCAGGCTTTTCTTTCACCCTAAGCAGCTCCAAGTACCCAGACTCCCATGCTATTTTTTGCTTCCTTTCCTGCCCCCTCTGCGGGAAGGCATCCTACCCTGCTTGGAAGGCAGCCTTGCTAACCACTATACCACCAACGCCTCCGCTCGATCCTGTTTGGCTGAAGTCCAAGCTCACACCCTGCGACAGACTTGGCCCAGTTTCCCTGGGGAGCGAGTTTTTTAACCCGTTGGTGCCTTGGTATCTGCAGGTGGGTTTCCTGGAAAAAAGTAAATCCAGGTCAAGGACTAGAAAATCTCAGTGGTAGCTGAGGGCGGGGAGGGTGTTTGAGCAGGAGCGTTCTGCGGTGAAGACAGACTCCCTTTCCTCTGCCCTGGAGGTGCAGCTGGGTGGCTCAGGTCCCAGGGGCTGGGCCAGCAGCTCTTCCTCCTCTCTTCCCCTCCCTGGGGACCTCTCCTCAGTGGCTCCTGGTTCCTGGTCCCTGGCAGACACTGGTTGGGGTGGGGTGAGGTCCGCCCTGGAGGAGAAGCCATGAGCTGCAGGCCAGGGTTGTCACCTTTAAAACACACCAGGGATAGGGTGTGTTGGTGCACACCAGCAATCAACCCACTCAGTAGGCTGAGGCAGAGGAGTGCGACGAGGCCAAGGGCAGCCTTTGTCTCAATAAACAAACAAACAATAAGCACCAATGACCTAGGGGCTGATGGGACCCACGTGTGTTCTCTGGGACTAGGTGACAGGAGAGCAGGTTTGTGCACAGGGATGGAGCTGGCTAGGCCCCAGGACATTCAGGAGGCTGGGTGTTCAGGGACCCCCCATGAAGCCCTTCATCCCACCTGCCCCACCCCTCCGCTCTCCTTTTTGATCGCAATAGCTTCCTTGTCTGTCCCTTTGTGTCCAGTGCACTCTGTGGTCTCAGGCTCTGTCTCTCTCTGTGTCCTGGTCCTGCCCTCATCTGTCTGTCTATCTGCCTGCAGTCCCACAGGTCCCCTCTGGGCAGAAGAGCTGCCTCACCCTGACGCTCTGTCCCCGGCTTTGGGGGTCTGCTCCCTTGACACTGGCTGCCCTGGGGGTAGGAGGACCCCAGGCTCCAACCTGAGTCTGGTGGTTCTGGCTGCAGCCTCTGCTCCTGCTGGCCCCTGCTCCATGTCCCCCACCCACAGGCCCTGGGCCCTGCCTACTTTTGTGGGTGTTACCTCTACCCTTCAGTGCTCCCATGGTACAGCTGCTGATGCCATCCTTGCCCGACTACCGCTTCTCCCCCTCACTGATGCGGAGACCCAGCCTTGGGCTCCTCTCTGAAGGCCCTGTCACTGTCACATTTGTACAAGCACTTGCCAGGACCTGGGGTGTCCTGTGTGGCTCTGAGAGCAGGGCTTTAGTGACAACAGGGCAGGAGGTCTCATTGCTGGGAGTGGTCCAGTGGGACAGGGCCATCAGGCTTGGCTGTTACAGAGCTCTGGGTGTGGCACATGAGGGTGACTACAGGGCTGGTACCATGACTTTGGAGAATCTGGCTGCTGGGACCCTGTTCAGGACAGCAACAGCTGGGCTGGGATGAGCTCAGCTGTCAGCTTTGTCGCTGTGACAAAATACTAGAGAACATCAACTTACAGAAGGTTACAGAGAGCAGCGGTGTCTGCGCTGGCGGAGGCCTACATGGTGGACTGCACTAGTGGAGCCATGGTGACAGGAAGCAGAGACTCTGGGACAAGAAGACCTTGCAGGACAAACTGGGTGACCTGTTTCTTCTCTAGGCTGCAGTCTTCACTGCCTGCCACAAGGCCACCACCTAGAGCCCAGTGGCAGGCTGATCCTTAATGAGGTGGCACCCGTGTGCCCAGTCAGCTCCACCGAGCCTCCAGAGTGTAGGCTTGGGGACCATTTGTATCCAAGGCTCAGTGCCTGCTGCAGGTGGCGCATGCTGCTCCAGGAGCTGGCGGCTGTGCGCAGCTTCGGGTGCAGCTGGAGGCCAGCCCGGCCTCTGCCTCCTGTTCAGCTTTGGCTCCTGGTCTGTGTGGCCAGCTCTGTTAGGTGCTCAGGGCTCGAGTGCTTGCTCGCACAGGAAGAGGCGTGGCCTCCTGTCCCTCTGGGTGCCTCTGGGGTGTCCTGCTTGGGTCACTTGGCACAAGAGGCTGGACGTTGTGTCTCAGGACATTCCCCTTGGGTGTCTCGTTTTTTTTTTCAGAGCTGGAGATGGAACCCAGGGCCTCATGGACAGCAGGAAGCCCTTGTCACTCAGCCGCACCCGAGCTCTCATCCCTGAAACTTTGAGGGCGGGCCCACAGGACCTGGGGCAGGCTTGAGGCTGTGAGGTGTGGGACTCCAGCTACAGGGACCCCCTTGGCACTGGAGGGCTGTGGGTACTGGCAGAGGGCGGGTTTTGAGCTGTGTGGGTGGGGAGCTCTAGGCAGAGTATAGTCATGTCGGGACCCAGAGCAGGGACAGTCTACTCAGGCACAGCAACAGACTGCAGGGCGTGGGACGGTGCAGGCCTGTGCTCAGAGCCAGGTGAAAAGCAACTCAAATACTGGGGAAAGTATCTGTGATACCTCAGGGAAGGCTTTGATGTCTACAACACAAAATAACTCAGAGAACATATAAGGAGCCCCTATAACTCAACAACAGAAAGACAGCCCGACTGAAAATTGTGCAAAGCGCTGGACTACATCCTTCACCAAAGAAGATTCATGAATGGCCTGGAAGTACACGAAAGAATGCTCATTAATGTGCATCTGTCTTTAAAGAGATGCAGATCAAAAACAAAAGGAAAGGCCATTTCACGGACCAGGGGGGCCGCCGCAAACACACATGACAAGTGTTGGTGAGATGCAGAGAAACGGACACTAGGGCGCCACCGGCACGAGCGCAAGGCGGGACAGCTCCTGTGGGGCGCAGTCCAGGGTCTCCTTGCAGAACTAAATGTTGAATTAATAATCCTGCTTCTAAGTATAAATCTAAAAATAATTAAAAACAAGGATTCAGATTTTCATGTATCAATGTTCAATGCAGAATCATTATTATTATTATTTATTTGTTTAGCACAGGGTCTACAGGGTCTCACCACACAGATTAGACTCGTGGTGATTCTCTTGTTTTCTTGTTTTTTTTTTTTTTTTTTTTTTTTTTTTTGTGGAACCAGGGATTGAACTCAGACCCTAGCGCTTATTCCACTGAGCCATCTCCCCGGCCCCTCTTTTCTTTCTTTTTTTTGTGTTTTCTCCTGTTTTCAGCCTCCTAAGTGCTGGGATTACAGGTGCATGTCACCACGCCTCGTCTCAATCACCATCTCAGCATGCCCTGGGGATGGGGCCAGCATGCACACTGGGGATTGAACCCCGGTCCCTGCATCTGCCTGAGCAGGGGCTTTAATCCACTGAGCTATCTGCTTGGC